AGCAACAGGGTGGTCTCAGCAGCTAACCGTGCTGGGCTGCTGTTTGCTGACAAAGTCCGAGATGAAGTCAAACTCGTTCTGACCCAGGAAGAGTTCGGGCAGCTCCTGGACCCGGTCCAGGCCGAGCTCCACCACCAGCGAGGTGAGCGCCTCCTCGTCGATCATGTCCGCATCCATGCCGTTCAGCGCCAGCGCCGGGACCGCCATGTGCTGCATGTTGGCCAGTTGGGCCGGGTTCATGCGGTACTGGTTGGCCGGGCCGCCCATGTGACCCCCGCCGCCGCCGCCGCCCATGGGGCCCAGCGGGTGTCCATGATATTGCGTGTTGAGTTTTTGGAGCTGCATGCTGGCCATGAGCTGCTGCGACGTCAAGCCTCCGTTCATGAATTGGCTCAGCTGGGCGGCGTGTTGCTGCTGCTGCTGCTGCTGCTGTTGTTGTTGTTGTTGGACCTGCTGCTGCTGGGCCTGGTGCATGTGATGCTGCTGCCCGTTGTACATCATCTGGTGGTGGTGCCCCATTTGGGCGCCGCTCATGGGCCCACCGGGTGGCACCATACCCTGCCGTTGGCGCATCTCCATGCCGGCCTGCGCGCCGGCGTAGTGCATCATCTGGCCGCCGGGCATGGCCCGCATGGCCGAGGCCTGCTGGCCGTGCGGCGGGTGGCCTGCCTGCAGGCCGTTCATGCCCATCCGATACGCGTGGAGACCGGCGCCGGCTGAACCGTGATTCATGGGCATCATGAGGTGCTCCGCCATGCCTCCTGTGGGGACAACACATCGGGCTGTTAGGATGCCCTCACCTTGCGTCATTTAGTCAGCATGCTTGTAACGCCGCTTTGAAAACGTGTGTGTCACATTCAGGACAAGAAGCGACTCGATTGCCTTTGAAAATGGCTTCAGTGTCCAATTCAATGCAATAGAGCGGCGGCGGCGGTGTGGGGGGGCGGGGGGTTGTAGACCCGCACACACACACACACACATACACACACGGGCAGATTTTTACGCACGCAAGGTTGCAACAAAGAACACCGATGCAACGCGCGGCGCGTCTCAATTCGGGGCCTTACCACCAATCATCTGCCTTCTCACTCGTGCCTTTCATTTGTGCTTGACTGAAATGCCGACTCCGTTTTTTTTTAAGGGCGCCTTTGACACAAACGAGGAAACAATGGGGCGACGCGGTGAGGAGATAGCGAGGAGGCATGCGCGCGCACACACACGGCAAGAGAAACGCCAACATTCTCCGGCTTGCAATTCAATGCAACAACAACAACAACGGCAACACAATGTGCACCGCTTACCGTGCTCAGCTCCTCGAAAAAAAAAAAAAAGAAAAACAAAAAGAAAAAAAAAAACTCCAAAGTTACTCCACTCAAGGCTCGGCCCGGTCCGCTGGTTCGGTGGTCCGCTGCGGTGAGGAAGGAGAGGGAGGGAGAGGTGAAGGAGAGGAGGGAGGTAGAAGGGGTGGGGGGGTTCGCTCAGTGCGAGGAGTCCGCGGGGCCGCGCGTCATTGCCGGGTGAGGTGCGCACAAAGACTGCAGCATCAGATCTTCAAGCGAGCGACTGACGATTTTCTGGGTCAACTCGGGGATTATGCACATCTAAAAAGCTCCCGAGGAAGGAAGGC